GGCCCCACCTCCGCCCGCCAGACCGCTCCTCCCCTCCAGCCCCGCCCCCCTGTCCCGCCCCTCGCTGGCAGCCCCTGGCAGTCCGGGTCCTGGGACCTATTCCCTGCCTCCTGCAGGTGCCTCAAAGGAGATCCTGAACTGCGCCACAGCCCAGGGTAGCCGTCCCGTGGCCGGGCCTTGGAGCTTCCCACGGACACCCGGGGCTCTGCCTCCTCCAGAGTCACCCCCCCACCGCTACCCTCCTGCTCTTCCACAGGGGGAGGCCCCACACGAGGGCCCCGAGAAACCATCAAAAACCCAAGGCCAGACTCAGGCAGGGACATGGGGGTTGGGGAGTGGACTCAAGCAACTCTGGAGCCCGCGGATAGTTCAGATCCCGGGAACAGCCCGCACCCTGGAAAGCCAATGTGGAATTCTGTTTGGGAACGGGTCCTCACAGTGTGAGGTGAGACACAGAGCCACTTCCACTCGGCAGCCGCAAGTGGCGAATGTCCATGATCAAGGGCAAGTTCATAGTCTAGAACACTCTGGATTTATTGATCCAAAAGTAGCCAAATCTAGGCCGGCAAGGTGGCTCACGCCTGTAATCCCGGCACTCTGGGAGGATCACTTGAGGTCAGGAGTTTGAGACCAGATTGGCCAAAATAGTAAAACTCCATCTCCACCAAAAAAATTAGCCATGTGCGGTGGAGCTTGCTGTGGGTAACCTCCCATGTGGGCACCGAGGAAGGAGCACTAAGCAGATCCCCAGCACAATTAGTGCCTGAAGAATATCTTAGTTTATAGTGTTATTACTCAGGTATTTCCTTTATATAATCCTTTATATATAATATCATGTATTACTTTATAGTCTGAACAATTAGTGCCTGAAGAATATCCTACTACTGGGTTATTTCCCTATATATATATACATATAATTATATCCTAGTTCATAGTCGGAGGAATGTCTAGAGCAGACAGGGTACAGAGCATGAATTAAGGGATAAACAGGTCTACATATATAAGCATATCTTGCTTATAGTCAGAGGAATGTCTAGAGCAGACACAGTGCAGTGTAGGGCTGTTGGCCCCACAGGGTCATGGGGTGTCCCTGATGCCATGCTGAGGTGCAGGATCCGAGAAAGAGACAGGACACTGAAGAACTGGAGAAGAGCAGCTGGACTCAGGGGACCATGCCACCAAGGAGTGGAGACTGGTGAGGCCCCAAACATCCAGAAGCGTCTGTAATTATTAAGTACAAGGCAGGGTGGGACAGAGTCGTGAGTGAGGTCATCTATAGGCTTAAAGATAGGGCACACATAATCAACGTGAGTAGCAGGCGAGGGGGCCACCCCATTATGTCACCCGGGCAGAGAGTGGGCCGTACACAGTAGGGGGCCCTGCCGGGCACAGTAGTAGAGGGTCATGTACAAAGGAGGGGTCCACCCCCATTAGGTCACCGAGGCAAGGAGGTGGGCTGTGTGCAACAGGTGTCATGTACAACAATTCTTATCTGGGGGCTGGAGACTTCAAAGGATTTCTAATAGAAGGATACTGTAAGCCAATGCAGTGGGAGCTGACAGACGTGTGCTCTTCTCTAAGATATTTTATGGGAAGATGATCTGAGCTAGCACAGAAGCGAGAAAAGGCTGACAGGGTGTACAGCCACTGTGACTGGTCACACCAGAGGGGTTCCTCTCCCTTGGTTATTTCCAGAATCTCAGGCCTGAGGCCGGCTTTCCACAGGAACTGGATGCAAGGTGCTACAGCTCCTTTATCAGGAGGAGAGGCTCCTGCTCCAAGCCTGCCATACAGCGTGTGCCCTTTCAGGCAGGGACGCCACCGCATGGGTCTTTGGTTCTCGTCCTGGTCTGGCTGTTTTCCCATGTACTTCTTCTGTTCTGTGACTGGTCTAGGCATTCCTCCTACTACAAACTACTATATGGTTATATGGAAGGATTGTATAAATCAGCACTAAATGTGTCAGTACAGCTCTGACTACAATACCTATATGATTAAATAGAAAGATTATATGGAACTAAGTATGATTATATAAGCTGGATATATGGAAGCAGTAAGTTACACTTCAGGCACTAATTCTATAAACTAATATATGATTATATATAAAGGATTACATAAAGGAAATAGCTGAGTAATAACACTATGAACTAAGATATTCTTCAGGCACTAATTGTGCCTGGGGTTTGCACAGCTCTTCTTCCTCGGTGCCCATGTCGGGGGTTACCCGCAGTGCAGAGTATGATTTAAGGGAAAACAGGACAAGAATATATGGCCCAGGCAGCAGCGTTCAGTATTGTAAAGATACCCGCTGTATTACGGCAGGCTTGGAGCAAGAGCCTCTCCTCCTGAAAAAGGAGTTGTAGTACCTTGCATCCAGTTCTTGTGGAAGGCTGCCCTCAGACTGGCAATCCCGCGAGCCTCTGAGGGCTTAAAACCCCTCCGGTACAATCACACCTTGGTGACTGTTAACTTGTCAGCTCTCTAGCTGGGTGCTGACTCGGATCCTCCTGTAGAAATCATCGGAAGCTGCCAGCAGGTGGTGGTAGACCGGGTCAGCTCCGCTACTGCGCTGACTCGGATCATCCTCCTACAGAATTCCTTGGAAGTAGCCTGCCCTAGATGGAGATACTGCACACTGCGCTCTCCACTGCGCACCACCCGCCTCCTAGCCTCGGTGACCTAGTGGCGGTGGACCCCTTGTTTACTGCGCACGTGATTGTCTTGACCCTATCACTGTCCTTAAGATGACCTCACTCACTACCCTTCCCCGTGTTTTGTACACAATAAATACAGATGCTCCTGGACGTTCGGGGCCTCCCCTGTCTCTGCTCATAGGTGGCGTGGCCCCCCAGCCCAGCTGCTCTTCTCCAGTCCTTCTGTGTCCATCTCTTTACTTCTCTGATCCTGCGCCTCAGCACAGTGATAGGGGACACCCCACAACCCTGTGGGGCTGTGGCTCTACACTTGCCTCAGTCTCACTACTCGGGAGGCTGAGGCAGGACAGTCACTTGAACCCAGGAGGCGGAGGTTGCAGTGAGATTGCACCACGGCACTCCAGAGTAAGACTCCGTCTCAACAGCAACAAAAACGGTGGTGGAGTCCTAGCAGGCCATGCCTTCAGGACTGTCTTCAAGAACTTATCCACTGAGCCCCTTACCTGCTACCCTGAAAAAAAATTACAATGAATAAATTACCAAGGGCACCCTTTAAAAACAGAGAGCTAAAAGCATCCTGTAAAAACAACAAGAGGTGGCTCATGCCTGTAATCCCAGCACTTTGGGAGGCCAAGGCGGGTGGATCACGTGAGGTCAGGAGTTTGAGACCATCCGGGCCAACATGGTGAAACCCTGTCTCTACTAAAAAAACAAAAATGAGCTGGGCATGGTGGCGGGCGCATGCTCAGGAGGCTGAGGCAGGAGAATCGCTTGAGCCCAGAAGTCAGCGGTTGCGGTGAGCCGAGATCGTGCCACAGCACTCCAGCCTGGGTGACAGAGTGAGACCCTGGCTCAAAACAAAACAAACAAAAAACAAACAGAGCTCAGAGAAAGAGGACTGTTGTTTAAAGGAGGGGCCATGGGTCAACCGAAGCAAGTGGCCACGGAGCCAGGACACAGGCGACATGGAAGGGAAGGTCTCCCAGTCTCCTGGAGGAAGGAGCAGGGGAGGCAGAGCCTCTGAGCTGTGCCTAGAAGCAGATCTCGCCTTCTAGTACAGCTGCAGGATGGAAATCCTGCCACAGCATGAATGGCTGGGAGAAACTCATGCCAGGCTCCATAGGAGACCGGAGTCCTGGACAGCTGAATGGCAGCTCCAGGAGACCCTGGCAGAGACCTTAGCCAAGCCGTGCATGGCTCCCGTGTGGTAAGATCTGTGAAGTAACAGACGGGCTGTTGGTGAGAAGGTTCCAGGTGAGACCCACCAGTGGCCCTAAGACGAGAAAATGCAAGGGTGGTGGGAAGCTGTGGTGCACCAAGACCCAGAGGCTGGCCTGACCAGCACCCACTGGCACCTCGCTGCTGTGCGGCCAGGGAGAACGGGTCCCGGGCATTCACTCCTGCTGTGCTGGGCACCAGGGACATCCCCGAAGATGGACAGAGCACCATGGGGGCTGCCCTGGGGGCTCATGAAAGAGAAGGGAGAGACACAGAGGCACAGCGGGCACCACCTGCCTGGTGCTGGAAAGTGGCAAGGTCTCATTAGAAGCAGAGACCAGGGCCGGGCGCGGTGGCTCACACCTGTAATCCCAGCACTTTGGGAAGCCGAGGTGAATGGATCACGAGGTCGGGAGACTGAGACCAGCCTGGCCAACATGGTGAAACCCTGTCTCTGCTAAAAATACAAAACTTCGCTAAACGTGGTGGCATGTGCCTGTAATCCCAGCTACTCAGGAGGCTGAGGCAGGAAAATCGCTTGAACCAGAGGGTTGGAGCTTGCAGTGAGCTGAGATCATGCCACTGCACTCCAGCCTGGGGACAGAGTGAGACTGTCTAAAAAAGATCACAAAGCAGACACCAGGGAGCAGTGACTCACCCAGCAGTGCCAGTGTGTCCTGAAGCGTGGGCAGGAGTTTGGGAAGGGCACTGAGGTGGCGAGACCTCTTGGCCCTCAGGGAACCCGGCCTTGCCATGCTGATGCTGCACTTCCTGCTCTGGGGCCCTTGTAGCCACCGGGGGTTCTAACTCAGAAAAGGCACAGCAGGTTTGGGATGGGAAAAGGGAATGAGAGGCACACAAGCCCAACAATAAAAATGGGGTCAAAGCAAACATTCAGGATGGGAAGCCACACGCTGGCCCCACGGAACCACACTGAGTGACCGCCAGCACACTGTGCTGAGCAGGAGTACCAGGAAGGCGGGCGGGCAAATCCGCTCCTGAATGCCCGATGGCAGAGGGAGCCCTCCAGAAGCTGGAATACCCATCAGCTTGGGGAGGACAAGGAAGGGGAGGGGAAGCTCTGGAAATTTCCATGCTATGACCTGGGTTGGTTAGCAAGAGTGTAAACATGTAAACAGTCAAGCAGTGTGCTTAAGATGTGGGTGTTTTACTATGTAAATTATACCCTAAATTAAAAAAAAATCAGGAACACCCTATCCCAGGAAAAGTTAATATACAACATCGACACCAGCAGGGATTTGGTGAAGCTATTCAAGGTTATAGATGAGGAAAGAATGACCAAGGCACCGGCCAAGGACTTCCCAATGGAATGGCACAGGCTCAGCACAGTCCTGCAAGGAAAAACCCAAACCCCAACCAGCTTCCCTAAGCCCTCACTACTCACCTGACATCCATCAAGTGTAACGGCTATGGAGGGCATTCTAGAGCTTTCAGGAGCTCAGCATGCAGCCCCTCCTGCCTGCCCCCGTGGAGCCCTCTCCCCAGGTGGGAGCTGGGCTCAGGGTCCTGCGGGGTGGGCACATGGACTGAGGTCCGGGGAAGCCGCCTGCCCCCACTTGCTTCCTGCCTGTCATTGTTGTCACCCAGATGCTGTTCACCCAGGCTCTGCAGCAGGCGCTGG